GTTTTGGCACGGATGGTGAAAAATTTAATAGCCCAAAGACAAAAAAAATGAATAGTAAGAGCAGAAGAAACAACCCACTGTTAAAAGGCAAAGCACATGCGACTGTATAGTTCTTCCTTTGCGTAACAAAAAATGTGTTCTAACAAACAGTGGCAAACATGCAAGAGCTACCCTTCAGCTCCAACCAACATGCAGTTAAGTATTACGGACATTTCAGCACTATCACAAGGACAAACATGGAAACAAATCCCACATTTCATTAAAGGTGCAGTACCCACAATAAAAGGTTGAATGTCATCTTGGTCTACGATGATTAGATGGCTAAATGAATGGGAATTACCATGCTTCAAGATCAAAGATGTTTCACTCAAACAGATGTGTTTTAATGTAAAGAACATAAGCTGAGGTTCTAAGGCATATCCTAAAGGTGTATGCATTTGTGCTCAAAACAAATATCTGGAGAAGAGTCATGTTAAAATATGGAAATGATGCACTTAACAAAAATCACTCATGATAAAGGTGAAACATTCACTCAGGTATGGAATGTTTTAATGCAAACTTTCGCTTTTCACAGAAACTAAAATAAAGCTTGTCTGGTATCATCCTTTCTTCCTAGCCTTTATTCTCAACTAATGATAGATGAATGCAATAGATCAAGTATCTCAATGTCACATTCTACATCAATGCACTTTCTAAGCTCTCTTTTAAAGAAATTGCTTTAGTGACACTAAGCATGAAAATTTCACAAGAGAAACAAATGGAAGTGACATCTTTGCAGGAAAGCCAATAATATAAATTCTCCAAACAACCAATCCAACTGTGGCTCTCATGCGTGAAGGCAGTAGTGCAGTTCCCACAGTGTTTGAGTGGGCAGCTGATACCACAGCTCACAGGACACACCCCAGAGCTCAGAAGACACAACAGGCATTAGAGGAGCGAGGAAGTCAGAAGCCATGAGGTAATTCCGTCTAGCATCTCACAAGTCTAGTTTAGTTAATGTGAATCAGAACTTCCAACAAAACAAGACATATATTTCCAAAACTAGTCTGTTTAAAGAAAATGCCCTGAAAACCTAATATAAATTTAAAAGCAAATTCATATTTAATCAGGTAAAAATACTTTTTCATAAGTAGTTCGTATGAAATGAGAAAAGTTAACAATGAATTGGAATGCTCTTAGTCCTTAGAGATTGACACATTAAAGGGGTAGCTAACTAATATTGTTGATCTTATTTGAGAGAGAGTCTCTCAGGAGGTTGCCTAGCACTCCTGATCTTCCTGCTGGTAGTTTTACCACATGCCTGACCACAGCAGATGAAATTTGGATTTGTAATGCTAAACTGCCTTTCATATAAAATGAAACATGGAAATTTCCCCTTGATGTATGGTTATCAGAATGATCATCAGAAAAATGGCCTGATGGGAAGCTCACAATGACGGCATACACGGCCAGAGCTGTGAAAACTAAGGAGCACGCCTTAAATGGAAGCTAAAGGGCTAATGATGTTAGGTACAAACATCTTGGTAAACAGAAAAGATGGGAACAACAAAGTACTAAGTTCCACTTAGGTGTTCAAACTACAAAGCCATTTAGGAAATGCTGATCAGCTAGAGCAAGCCAGCTGAAAAGCAACCCTTAAGATGTGGCGCGGTACCTGCTAATCAAACATGTATGCTGGCTTTGAAGTTGCAAGATCGGGACTCTCATCTAAAGTAAGCTTTCTTCTTAGCAATTACAAGGGGCAAAACCTTGAGCAGTCTTCCTTGCCTGTCACCCTGGCCTAACCAACTAAATGCCAAGAAATGCCACCTTATCACCAAACACACCAAAACATAGAATTATGAAAATAAATTTCAATCTAATTCAACACCACGATATATACGTAATGCGTTTTCAAATCTGTGATGAGATTCAGCTAAGATTATGGCAAATGTTATTATCAAAACCAAAATTACTTGAATTCAACACGCTTTCCACAAATGACCCATCATGGAATGTCATGAACAAAGTCATTTTTAGGTCTGGTTATCAGATGAGTTCTTTAGCATCTCTTTCTCCCTCAAGTCAAGTCACATGGACGGCTACAATGTAATACATTCAACCATTCTAATCAAAGCATAAATATCAGAAATTGCCTCATTTAATTCCAAAAACTAAAATGACAGCTTTCCCAGATGTTTCATAACAATGATGACACGCCTTTCCTGATGACTCATCTTAGTGCAATGGCTGTCCAGAATCAGTGAAAATGAATATTCTTAGTTAAAAATAAAAAAAGAAAAAAGAAAAAAAGGAAAACTCTGATGAGTCAGCACCTGTCGGCCAGCCATGCTTTGTCTCCCCCACCCTGCCCAGCACCTGCCCCTCTGTAGTACCTGTGGTGCTGCTGTGACTAGTTACCTGTTTTGAGGCTGGGCCTGAACTCTCGGCTAGTGCTGGGAGGTGGGAAGGCCTCCGGGGCTGTCTGTGCTGGCAGGGTTCGATATGGAGGAGGAGTCAACTCTTCGTCCCCAGAGAAGCTCCTCCGCACCCCACCTGTCATGGGCAGGCTCGACAAACTGACAGGCTTCTTCCCAACTGGCATCTTCCTTTCTAAACATCAAGTCAGACTGAAGTAAGCTTTGACTTAAGTGTGTGGTAAGAAAAGTGAATTGTATTACTAAGGATACTGACTTGCATAGGACACTGCAAAGAACAGACTGTGCAAGGCTTAACTTCTGCAAGCCTGTGTGCATGTGTACACAATCAAATGCATGTGTGGAAGCATAGCATATTAACATGCTGGCAGCAGGTGGAGGAAAGGCTGCCTCTAGTCTCCCAGGCCTGATAATCCTGGTCTTGACTCTCAAGTTTAAAACAAATGAGGCAAAATAAACGAGAGTAGTTAGTGTGGAGAACTGCTGGGTTAATTTCCTTCAAAAAAGGTCAGCTTTCATATCAGGTGAAAAGCCAATGGAAGAAAGAGAAGGTATTTATATTTTTTCTTGTAGTAGGGCTGGGAACCAGCAGGCTCTCATGCACACTAGGCCAAGTGATCTGCTCACCGATCCCAAGAGAACGTCTCTGAGCATGACTTTGAAGGCAGCATTTCTCTAACCATATAAGCCTAATCATGGCCCTTCAAAAATCAAACAAATTAGCACACATGTCTTAATCAGCTGGCACAATTTTATTGTTACATAGTGTGCTCCCCTAAGCTTTTGTCAGCAGTGCATTCAGACAGCATCTGTAATTATGACATAGAAAAGTACTTCTAAAACTCAAAATTTATTACGTATTGCTTACAAAGCTCTTCATCTCATGTGACAGGGTCTTGGGTACCCCACGCTGCTTCTGAATTTACTATGTAGACAAGGCTGGACTTAAAATTCCTAATCATTCCATCCCCATCTCCCAAGTGCTGCAATCATGTGAATGCCACCGTGCTCAGGTTTTGTAGTTAATTTGTTTTTAAGACAAGGTCTCATGTAAACTAGCTTGCCTTCAAACTCACTAGTTAGCTGAGAATGACCTTGAGGTTCTGATCCTCTTGTCTTTACCTCCTATGTGCTAGAATTAAAGGCACATACCACTTTTTACAATTTTATAAGTACACATTAACATGCCAGGACTCTCAAAATGTTTTTTACCAAACTAAAATAGGCTTTGAATTCTGCAAACACTAAACCAAAGACACAGTGTAATATGGGTGCAAACTGCAAGATACCCACGTATCTTTACAAATGTACATTTGTTTTCCTCCTAAATATACCTGACCTAGTAACCTAAGCTTCAGATAATCAGAATGAAATGCACAGATCTAAGTCAACAGTATGCCCATATAAAATGACTCCAGGCCAGTGTCATGAGCAGTGACTACATATGGAACACATTTACAAGTAAAATACTAGGCAAAAGCACCAAGTCCTACATACTGTAGCTCCTAAAGTAGTGAAACTAGAAGCTGCTTCAGAGGAACTATGGTTTTCGAAAAACAGTTCTTTGAGGCTGAACACCTGTAAGATCCTCCTGGTCAAACAGTACTTTTCTTTTCCAAGGCTAGTTAACAACTATCCCTAAACAACCCAACCATGGCACAGACTTGGCTCATTGTCCACCATGCTATACACTGAAACCAAACAACCCCCCTCTTGGTGGACAATAAGGACTACTGTAACCACTTCAGTACAGAAGAAACTGCAGAGCTAGAACACAACAATCTACCAGCAAAGTTAAAGACAAACACCAGGTTTTGAAGCTCATCTAGTATGGACAAAAGTCTGCCTGCAATGAATGACTTTTAAGATTTTTACTTTATGTGTATGTGTGTGTGCCTGTGTTTCAGTATGCACATGCATGCAGGTATCTCCAGAGGCGAAAGTCTTTTGAATCTCCTGGAGCTGTTGTTATGGGCAGTTTTGCACCACCCAATGTGGGTGTTGGATTCCAACTTCGGTGCTCTTTAGGAGCAGCAAGTACTCTCTTCAGCTCCCAGACAACTTAGAGTTTTAAATCCCAAGTTCTTTCATGTTTTGGCAACAGGTTTTGTGGGAAGGATTTCTTTGTGTATCTGTATTTATGTGTTCATGAAGATGTATGTGTGTATGGCCAGAGGTCCACTTTCATACACTTCTGTAAGTTGCCAATTATGTTAGGCAGGCTGGCCAGAGAACCACAGGCTCCTTCTATCTCTGTCTTCTAGCACTGAGATTACAAGCATGTACCATCATTGCTTCACAACACGTAGTAAGTAAGTACTTTGCCCACTGAACTGGCTTTCTAGCACCATTCTGCATCCTTCATCCACTCTTTTGAGACAGGCTCTCACTCTGTAATTCAGGCTGGCCTTGAATTTGCAGCAATCCTCCTGTCTCTGCACCGAGTTTTGGAATTAAAGGCTAAATCCACCACACTTAGCCTTGTGGGAAGATTTGTAATAAACATTTGCATAATGGGAAAAAAAAGAGGGAGTAGACCTTAATGCAAAACTACTGCATTTCTGTTTCTTCAATTCCAACATTTGAAAAGCACTTTTCCAAGATTTTGGCAATAAAACCATACTCAATTGATGATATATTTATTGTCTTTACTTGGTCCACTTACTGTAAACATTTATATTTTGCTTCAAAAAAAATCACCTCAAAGTTTGCAGAGTGCTATATAGTAAATGCCAAAACATGTATTTACTGAAACGGAAAAATTCTCAATTCCAAAACAAAAACATATCTGGTCCCAGGGTTTCTAGTATGGACCCATGGATTTGTATTTCTTTTCCTTTCTATGTCCAAATAATTTCAGGGCACTAGAGATGATGTCATAGTGTTAAGATAAAAACGTCAGTGTTAAGTTACATGTTCCATCTATAGCTAAAGTTAATCTCTAGCTAATTTAGAAATCTGGCAATGTTAAAAAGAGCACTAAAATTTGGCTATTATCCTTACTTCTTTAATTCATTTATTTATTCTCCTATTCCTAGCCCAGGAATTCAAAGATCCAAACAGAAACAAACCCTGCAAGGGTTACAAGGCAAGTGAATTGTGCATTTAATTCTCATTAGTAAAAAAGAAAATTAGATTTTATGTGTCTAAATGTGGATCTCAGTAAATGTATGTGTGTAGGTGATTTCTGAGCCAGAGAAGTTCCTCTCATTCCCTGGAGCTGGAATTACAGGCATGTGTGAACTGCCTGGTGTAGGTCTGGGAATTAAACCTGAACAAGGGCAGCAAGTGCTCCTAATGGCTTAGCCTCCTCTTCTGTTTTTAATGACAGTCTTATAGCCCAAAGTTGGCCTGAAACTTGTGGCAATCCTTCTGCCTTAGCTTCCTGAGTGCTGAGATTACAAGTGTGAGCCACTATGCCCAGCCTAGTAAAAATGATTTATCATAAACTACTGGGAGGAAATATAGATAGATATATGTGTGCATAAGATTAATATCAATCTTATATTAAATAATAATAATATATATATACACACAAAAAAAACCCCACGTATTTTTGTGTGTGTAATCTCTCCTCACCCCACTTAAGATAGTGTCTCATGTAGCCCAGGTAAGCCTTGAACTTGCTATGGAACTGAGAATGACCTTGAACTCCTGATCTTCTCCTCTTTGCTTATTGAATGCTGGAATTACAGCCATGTATCTCCATGCCTGGCTAAAAGCCAATGTCTGTCTTCAATGTCTTAAAAACTTCTGAGATCTTACTCAAATTCTTGTTCAACACAAAATGGTAAGGCAGTTTAAATAGGCCTGTTAGATTCTCTTTACAGAAAGATGAATGCAATGGTTAATTTAGGGACACGAAAGGCATGTGCAAATTCTCCTTAAGTGTGTGCAAACCAGAAAACCTTACTATGACTGTGAATGGTCTCGCAGTGCCCTCTAATCTCTTGCAGGTGATCAGCTGTACTGCCAAACTCCTGATGGGCAAAGTAATTCTGTGTCTGTGGGAGATTTTGCCCACAGAAGAAGGGCAAGGAGCAAGCCTGCTTTGTGGTAATGTCATGCAGGTTATCACTAGCTGAGGCTAGATAGGGTTTTATGCTGGGAGGAAACTTGTTTTTCACAGCACCAGCACAGTAATTAGGTTCTTTACCTAAAAAAAAAAAAAAAATTGCAAATAACTGTAATCAGGAAGAACTTAAAGAGAATACTTGGTTAATCCTTAGATACACTTTACCATAAAAAGTACCTTAAAAATCCTTTTATTTTAGAATAAAATATTCTACAAGTTTCGTGAATAGAAAAACCCCTGGCTTTCTATGGTGGTGAAAAATATATTGTGGCTAATAATGAAACCATAATTTATGTTAGAGGAAACATTAAAAAGTTGACTTTGTTGTTAAACATCAACTAATGGTATGTGTTTGTGATACACACACGTATGTGGGAGTATGTTTTTCATTGCGGAGACCTATCACTTTCTACCTTACTGGGTTTGAGATAGGGTTTTACTGTGTAGATCTGGCTGTCCTGGAACTTGCTCTGTAGACCAGGCTGGCCTCAAACTTAAGAGATGGCCTGGTTCTGCCTTCTGAGCGCAGGAACCAAAGGCGTGTGCCACCACATCAGGCCTCCACCTTTGCATTTTACCTATGAGCTATCCTTATCCCTTCCTAAACATTGTGGATTTATTAGGATTATCATTCTAGATAGAGCTGTACTTTGTAGGAGTGACAGTTACTGTAAGCATCAAGAACTGCTTTTTTGCTTCATTAATAAAGTCTTTAAAAAAAAAGGGATTAACTTTGAGCAGGTTCATAATCATTTCAAGAACCATTCTAAGGCTCTACTCTTTGTGTTTTTAAAGCATACAGATAAAGAATATCTGATTTTTTTCACCTGTTAGTTAAAAATGTTTCTTAGTATCAAAAAAGTTTGCCTTTTATGTTATACTGCACCTTTAAGCGTAATACATAATGAACAAGCATCAGTTCTCACAGGGATATAATTGTCTGTGCAAGAATATTGTGACCTCAATTGCTTAACAATTAGGAAATATATGCAAACACACAGTGACCCACTTTTCTTATGTCCTTTGTATTGCTGAGACTTAGCCTTTTTCTTCTGTTTTGATGAAGCTGACTGGCTTTCTCTTGACGCTGAAAAATAAAAGGGAAAATTGGTAATAGAGAATGGCTTACAATTCTAGACACTGATTGGATGATTTATCTTTATGAAAATTATCATCCTTTCAGAAGCACACACTGCTTTTAAAAGGTGTATTTCTTTCTTTCTTTTTTGGTTTTTCCAGATAGGGTTTCCCTGTGTAACAGAGCCCTGGCTGTCTTGGTAGCACATGCCTTTATTGTCTCAAAAAACCACAAAAACCAAAAGCATACAAACCAAAAAACCCAAAAACCAAACCCAAAACTCCCCAAAACCATGCATGTCACTATTAGGTAGAATCTATTATTTATAATAGCATTTATGAATGATGCATTTTTGTTTTTTAAAAATGATTTCTTTCTATGTGCACTGGTGTTTTGCCTGCAAGTATGTCTGTGTGAGGGTGTGTCAGATTCCCTGGAATTAGAATTACAGTTGTGAGCTGCCATGTGGGTGCTGGGAAATGAAGCAGGGTCCTCTGGAAAAGCTGCCAGTGCTCTTAACTGCTGAGCCATCTCTCCAGCCCCAAATAATGCATTTTTAGCCTATAACGTTCAATTCCACAACAATGTAGTTTAATTTGTGACTTCTGGTTATTATATAACTGATATGTAGTTGACATTGCCATCATGGCATACATGGTCAAATTCTATGATATTGTTGAGTCTTATTTTTTTACCTGGCAACTCATCAACGTTGATATATTCTTATCCTGTGACCTTACAAGATGATTTACATGAGCCAGCCCTCTGGAGAATTAGCTGTTTTTTAATAAAAGGAAATGTTTCTGAATAGTAACTTACACTGTGATGCTGGAGGCTGTAGTTGATATCCAGTTAACTGACACCACCCTACAGGATAGAGGTCAGGGGACTCACAGTCTACCCACTGATCATACTCTTCTTCCCATCCATCAAAATGTATTCTCAAGAGACGATGAATAATTCGAGTAACTGTGGCTACACATATTAAACGTGGCTCCATGAGATCTACAGCTTCTAATTTCATTCCTACACGGAATCCGTGATTTGGAACATCCTGACAGAGAAAGAAAGTATAAACACTGGTGCTCTGAAGGACAGCAAATTCAACATCTAAAATAATTTCCCAAAGCTCACAACAGTTCTTTAATATTGTAACAGGGAAGCATTTAAGAACTAGTCAAGAACAATATTCATTTCCATTTCTTCCCTGGTAAAAGATCAAATAATTTAGGGCTGACAAAATGGCTCAGTGTGCAGAGGTACAAGCCTGATGACCTGAATTGATTTCAGAATCCATGTAAAGGTGGAAAGAGAGACCTGATTCCAAAAATTTGTTCTTTGGGGCTAGAGACATGGCTCAGAGGATAAGAGCACTGGCTATTCTTCCAAAGGTCCTGAGTTCAATTCCCAGCAACCACATGGTGGCTCAAAACCATCTATAGTGAGATCTGGTGCCGTCTTCTGGCATGCTGGCACACATGGAGGAGAACACTGTATAAATAAGAAATAAGTCGTAAAAAAAAAAAAAATTGTCCTTTGACTTCCACACAAGTTTGGCAAAAAGTTCTCCCTTATACTAATTGAAAAAAAAAAAAAAAAAAGGACGAAGTTTATGAACTTGCTTTTTTCCATACTGAAAATACTTACACTGTTTTTGTTAATTTTCATTAAGAAAATGTAATGTAAAGCAAAAAACTTTTGCTCAAGAATAATTTCCACTCTTAGGTCATGATCATACTAACATTCAAATTTACCTTATTAAATAGTTTTACTGGTGCTGCAATGGAGCCGGTTTCCCTGAGGTAGTCAAACCATTTAAAAGGAAGTTTTGTGTAACCTGAAAAAATACAAGTAGTTTAGGTAACGGTACATTTAAAATTAGCATAATCTTAAAATGTAGGTGACTCAGTACATGAAATCTCAGATTTCAGGATACAATAATTTCTTTTAATTCTGTTAAAAAATACATTTTTACTTTTGGGATTGGCTAAATGTCTCAGGCTAGCCTCAAACAAGTTATATAGTAGCAGGTAACCTTATTTCCCTTGACCCTTCTGTCTCTACCTCCAATTAAGGGGCTGGGAGTATTTTACTCTACTTAGTGATATCAAGAACTTCTAATGCATGAATATACTGGTTCCATATCATGATGACGTCCCCCTTTACAGATACACGCATATGCTTCCTTATCCTAATGTAAAAGTGACGATTTTTTTATTACAAGGATGGACTTCTGCCTTTCATTGCTTCTTATTTATTTTTGGTGGCCCCTGGGGCTCTAATCCAGGACCTCAGCATGCCAGGCATGGTGCTCCCACCACCAAAAGCTACCACCCCTTCCTGCAATACCAGGCTTTACAGCAGTTTAACACTTAATACTTTGAAATTTTTTTTCCTTGAAGAAAAACTAAACTGGCTGAAAAAACACTCTCAATAAATCTTTGTTTTGCTTTAACCCCATCTTAGAGAAAAACACAAGGCAAAGGTACTGAAATTAGAAAGTCACTGGTTAAACCATGAGAGCTGCTAAAGACAGATTTTCTTTTAAAAAGTGGATAGCTGGGCGTGGCTGTGCACCTTTAATCCCAGCACTCTGAAGGGAGAGGCAGGAGAATGACTTCGGCTCATATAGCAAGTTTTAGACCAGCTAAGAATACAGAAACCATGTCTCAACAAAACAAATAAAAACAAAATGCTTGTGATAATCTAAAGAGAGGAGGCCTCCTTTTTCTTGAAGACTACGTATCCATTTAACGAGTACTTAAAATAATTATTAAATACTGAAAATACTAAAACTGCTCATGTGAGAGCTGGAGAGAGGTCTTATCAGGTAAGACCAGTGGCTACTTTTCCAGAAGAATAGGGTTCACTTTCCAGTACGTGCAGCTCATGACTGTCTGCAACCAGAGTGCCAGGGGATCTGATGCCTTCTTCTTGCCTCCTGAGGCACCAGGCACAAGACCCATAAGGGGTACAGACAAAATGCCCATACCAAAAATAAAAGGACAACAACAACAACAAAAAACCAAATCAAACAAAAAAACCCCAAAACAAACAAACAAAAAACCCCCCAACAAACCAAAGGAACAAAAACCATTTTTAAAAGCTTATATGTACAGGAACATATTGAGAGCACTATGTTAGAGGGTCTATAAAATATGGACACACATTGTAACATGAACAGATTTAGGCAAAACTTTCATGGTCATTTATTAAAATAAGCTAGAATATAAAAATTGTGTTTTTACTTGAATAATGTATTAACCTTGAGACAGAATCTTGTTGTGTAGCCCAGGCTGGCCTATACTCATTATACAGAACAGGCAGGTTTCCAACTTGTGGGCGATCCTTCTACCTTTGCTCCCAAGTGCTGGGATTTCAGGCATGTACCAGAAAGGCCAAGCTTCATAATATCCAAAGCTCTTGAGTATTTCAGTCTGTGTATACATACCCACACATATTGTGTATAAATACACAAATAACATTAGGGCTGTGTTAAATGTAAACAGGTAACATACAGCAACAAAGCAAGGCTAAAAACTAAGGATGGAGTACCTCTGGGTGGAGTCAGTTCTATCATGTTAATTTCACAGAAACCCACAGGGAAAATAGAAGGAGAGGTTGCATGATAACAGAACCAGTCAGATCCATCTGCTGCTTCTGAGCCATCAATCCCAATCATCAGGAATCCATCCGCCAGCACCTTTGAAATCAAAAGAATCCCAAGTACTTAAACATGTACTTTACTACTCCTACAAAATAAAATTTTAAATAAGATTTATTTATGTATTTTACATATATGAGTATTCTATCTGCATGCACACCTGCATGACAGAAGAGAGCATCAGATCCCAGTATAGATGGTTGTGAGCTACCATGTGGGTGTTGGAAATTGAACTCAGGACCTCTAGAAGAGCAGACAGGGCTCTTAACCACTGAGCCATCTCTCCAGCCCCACAAAAATATTCTAAATCACATTCTGAAAGAAAGGGAAATCTATTACATAAAGAAAGATACTTTAAAAATAAAAAATACTTTCTCACTGAATGATAAAAAAGATAAAAACTGATATAGACTGTTAATGTGTACCACAAACAAACACAAAACCATACAGAAATGACTTCAGAAAATCAAGTTTACACAGAGATGACTTCAAAATGCTTGAAAAACTCAATGTCTTTTGCCAATAATTGACTGAAATACTCTTTTGATGGTTTAGCCATACAGTGCCCAGTGCGTGAAATGCTTGGCTGCTAGGTCTAATAACCAGAATTCAGGACCCACACGGTGGAGAGATCCAACTTCAAGTCGCCCTTTGATTTCTACACATCAAACACAAAAATTAAATGTAAAAAATAACCATCTAGTGTCAAGTCTCAGACTGTTAGTTCTAACACAGTAATGCTTTCCTTTTCTTCAGACTTTTTGTATAGAAGACTCCTGCTAACTTCTCCACTTTCTTCAAGCTTCAACTTGCCCTCTTTTATTATGCTCGTCTAAGACACTAAGGCTGCTCAGGCCCAACAAAGTGTCTTCTTAACTCCATACTGTGTCTCAGACTGCAGTCAATAGGCAGTACTTCCGCCTCCCAATACTAGACCTTGAATTTGAGATCTTCTTGCTCCAAATTCTCAAGCCTGGAATTACAGACTTGTAGCACCATGTCTAGTTCCCCCCACATTTTTTTTTTAAAAAACACAACAAAGTTCTACATCTTGCCCAATTATCAAAAGAAGCTCTTGTCCCAACATTTCATGCTTTGCACTCTTAACATTTCCTAATTTCCATTACACTGCAAATAATTTATACCCTGTACAACAACCATAGAATTTGTTGCTGTCCCACTTCTATCTTTATCTAGCCTCCAAAATTTACCAACAACCTTGTTTTCTCAATTCAGTGGTCTGTTTTCCATACCAACCTCCTCAAATATAACCCTTACTTATTAGTGAGACAAGGTCTCACAATGTAGCACTGGCTGGCTAGGACCTCACTATGTAGATCAGGCTGGCCTCAATTTAAGAGATTTGCCGGCTTCGGCATTCTGAGGGCTGGCATTACAAGCATTTGCCACCATCTCAAATCTTATTCTATCTGACACTTGATTAACAACTTTTATTTTTTGTCCCTCTACCCCCAGACTGTCATGTTCTGGTCTATCAATTAATACTCAGTCGATTAATACTCAGTCCTCCATTATTTCTTTGATGATTCTTTTGGTAGTTGACTTTTCATCTACAACCCTTACATTTCCGATTTTAGCTCTTTGCTTGGTTTCAATAACCTCAGGCACTATTAATTTCATGACCAATGAGAGTGTGTTTCCCTTCTACAGTCTCAGTATTTATTTTATCTGTATGCTGAACATGTTCTCCGAGAGCTATACTTTGCCTCAAGCCAACATCTTCTTTTTTAAAGTCTTTAGAAGTAATCACTTAGTTCACAACTCTTATTGTAAGCATTCCTGTTGTTGTTTTTTTTTTTTTTTAAAAAGTATTAACATTTAAAAAATTTATATATGCAAGTGTTTTGCCTGTAGCATGTGTCGCTGGTATGCATGCATGCCAGAAAATGGCCATCAGATGGCCTGGAACTAGAGTTACAGATGGTCATGAGCCACTATGTGGGTGGTGGGATATCCAAACTCAGGTCTTACTGCAAGAGTAACAAGCGCTTTTAACTGAGGAACCAACTCTGGAAACTGTGGTACAGGATACTGATCCCAGAGCCTTGCACGTTAGGCAAGCACACTACTACTGAGCTACATCCACAGCACCAACTTTTTGGACGCATGTTCTATACATGTCAACCACTTGCCATTTCATATATGTGCTGATCAGCCTCTGTTAACTTGAGTCAAACTAGAGTCACCAGGAAGAAAAGAAACTCAATTGAATAATTGTCTCTATAAAATTGGCCTGTGGGCATGTCAGTGGGACATTTTCTTGGTTGTTAATTGGTATAATCAGCCCACTATGGGTGGTACCACCCCTAGGCAGGTAGGTTCCAGATGGCCAGGTGTATAGACCTTTAATCCCAACACACAGGAGGCAGGTGGATCTCTATGTGTTCTTGGTCAGCCAAGGGTAAATAGTGAGACCTTGGCTTTAAAAAAAAAGGTAGCTGAGTTAACCAATAAATAGCATTGTTCCGTGGTCTCTGTTTCTTCAATGATGAGCTATAGGGGTAAGCTTGAATAAACTTTCTTCCCCACATTGTATTCTGTATGCTGTTCCAACAGAAGCTTCCTGCAATACTGCAGCTCACATGTGAATTTGAGACTATTCCTTGCCTCATTCTTCAGCATGTAAGTATTAAACTAATTTATTTGTAGACTGTCCTATTAGGCAACAAACATACTGATCTCATTAGTATGTACATCTGATTTTGCCTTTAATAAAGGGTAAAATTACACATATACCAAAAGTTGTTTTAAAATTAATTTGTAGCCATGCACAGTGGCACATGCCTTTAATCCCAGTGCCTGGGAGGCAGAAGCAGGTGGACCTCTATGAGTTGAGGCCAGCCTGGTCTACAAAGAATGTTGCAGTACAGCCAGGGCTACATACAGAGAAACCCTGTCTTGAAAGAACCAAAGGAAAAAAAAATTGATTTGTGATGTATTATGAGTGCTTGATTGTACAAATATTTCATAAACCTGTATGCCATGGGTTGTATTAAAGTTCTGGGTGAAAAGAAAAGGGGCTGAGAAGTACAGATCTTGACTATAACATATTAAAAAATAAAACAGATATGACAACACAACTCAAATTTATTTAAAAAGTCTTAGTAACTTTTCTCCCAATGGAGATCCAGACATACCCATCTTTTTTCAAAACACATCTGCTCAAGGACTCCTTCTGTTTTTAAGCCTGATTCCTCTAGTCACATTTCTCTTATTTAAAACACACTCTTACCTTTCTAATGGTTGCAACACATATTGTAGAAAGATTTAATGGGTCTATAGCTTCCAATTTCATTCCTTCTTTGAACCATTCTCCACTCTGGTCTACTTCTTTTACCTATAGAAAGCATATACACTATTATTATATTTATATTATACAATTACACTTGCCTGTCCTTTAGAATTTTTCATTTAGGGCATTGTGTATATGTGTGTACATGCCATTGTGCATGTGGTGGTCAGAGGATAACTTTTGGGAGTCAGGCCTTCCTTCTCATGTTTTTGAAGCAGGGTCTCTATCTTGTGTTCACTGTGCCTTCTAGTAGAAGCTGTAGGCGCTGTAAGCTTCCAGGCGGTACTCCTATGTGCACCTCTCATTTTCTGTAGGAGTGCTGGGATAACACATGCGCTGCATGCAATCTGCAGCAGGCTTTTTAGAGATGTTCAGAGCAACAGGATATGCAACAGAACCTGAGCCAGCTAAGCTATCTCCCTGGCCTATGAATGTTTTCTGCTCTCCGAGACAGGGTCTTAGGTAGCACAGGCTGGCCTGAAACTTGAATCCTCTTCCTAAATGTTTTCACTTTAATAATGAAGATATTTCTAACTTGAAAATATTTACTAGATGCCTTTTCCTACCTACTATTATAACTCATATTTTCTTTACGGAACAGAAAGAATACACAAACACACATAGTTTAGGAATGAGCCTAGTAAGTTTGTGACACCTGAGAACTATACACTTTAATTTTTAAGTGAGTATATGTGATATCCATAATTTTAGGAAAGTCCACAACTTAACTTTCAACTTGACTTATATATGAGGGCTCTTACCTTAGCAAATAAGTGTGGTGGTGTATCAAAATGTCCGTCTTGTTTCTTTGTAATATCTACAAGGAAAAGTTATAGACTAGTCTGTCAGCATTCATGAGAAGACCAGAAAACCACACTTCCTTAAAGGGTTCAAACTCACAAGGTGTGTAATATTCTAAAATGTGGCAAAACAACAACAAAAAACATGTTTTCTGCATTTATGATGATGAACAGTATTAATAGCCTTTTCTGTCTTCAGAGCACATGCACATATGCGCTATACATTTGTACATGGAAATTAACACTTCCATGAATTACAATACAGCTAGTTCCACAGTAATGGAATGATAGTCTCAGAAACTTTTTTCCTTTTGGTATAGTTGAAGAAAGTGCCTCACACATGCCAAATACTCTAGTACTGGACTATCTCTGTAGCTCTTTTCACTTTTTACTTTAGGGCAGGGGCTCATTAAGTTGCTCAGACTGTCCTTGAACTTATGATCATCATGTCTGACCCTCCTACATAGCTGGGATTACAGGCCTGTACCACTAGACCTCTTTAGAACAATGTTTTTGTTCAATTTAACCTTGCTATTTAGATTACAGTTAGGTGGAAAACAGATCTCACAGCTTTCAAATGGTCTGGATAAAAAAGAGTAGTAAGACAACTGTACTTGTGAGAAAAAGGACAAAATTTTTTTTTTTGGATGCTAGAAATCAAACCCATGGCCTGAAGCATGAATGTACATTATTTTAAATGATAGAAAGTAGAAGGAACATCAGGAATTCATATCCTAATATAGTAGAATAATCAGGCTAGAATGCTATGCTATCTTGGTTCAGTGCTTTGTAAGAGAAACAACTAAGTAGTTATTTAACCTCACTGATACTTTTAAAAGTTTTTGGGACAGTTGCTTACCAGATCTTTTGAATCGATGGCCTATGCTTCGAGACCATCCGATATGGTGGATTAAGGGGCTGTGCATGTGGCACCAGAAGTCATCCGTTCTATCTTCACTCTCTTCATACACTAACCTTAGTCTTCCTCCAATTACACTCTCCACCACTGCTACTCTTGTTCGACATAAATGCCTCTTGTCAACTACTTCTACTCTCATGCAAGGTTTGAAAGGATACTGCATACTTTCTGAAACCTTCAAACAAAAGCAGAAAAAAAAATCCTGTTGGCGATCTGTGACAAAGGTCTACAAAGTTTTAATATTGCCCTGTCAATATTTTATTTATATATATGTACATGTACACACACACACACACACACACGTACATACATGCACACACACACTTTTGTTTGAGATTGAGTAGCCTTGGCTGTCTTGGAACCTGCTATGAAGATAAGGCTGACCTTGACCTTACAAATATTCACCAGCCTCTGCTTCTCAAGTGCAGGGATTAAATGTGTGTACCACCTTTCGTAGCTCTTGTTTTGTTTTGAGGGGACAGGGTTTCACTCTTTAGGCTAGAGGTTAACTTTTAGCCATCCTTCTGCCTTACTGTTCTAAGTACTGAGAGTACAGGTAGGAGTCACCCTGTCTGAACATATATTTTATATTTAACAGTTCAGAAATTATAACTTTAAAAAAGCCCTTCTAAGTAATTCTTTTAAAAGAGCTCTTCAATTCTTTAAGAATCCTATTTTTACCTTTTGTGAGAAATCAGGAGGAAGTGTTTTGGCACCAGTAAGTCTTTTTACTAGAAAAGCTTTCCAGTTTGTATATTTATGTTGAACAGCTAAAATAAAAGAAATAAATAGTTATCCTTTAGCAGACAGAACTGTTTAACAATTTAAACAAACAAGGTTAACAAGTTTCTCTGGAAGTCATGAGTATTAAGGTGCTGAAAGGTAGCAAGAATGGAAAAACTAAGTATGTCTCGTTAGTTTGATATAAAATATTTAAATTTCTGTATTACTTGAGGATATTGTGCTTAAGACATCACTAAGCTATAGTATTAAAATTACCATGGGCTGGAGAGCTGGCTCAGCAGTTTACAGCACTTGTTGCTGCTCTCGCAGGATTAGGGTTTGATTCCCAGCATACATGTGGCTGCTCACAACTTCCTAGAATTACAGCTCTGGGACCTCCAATGCCCTCTGTGGGGCCAGGCATGCATGTATGCATGTATACATACATATAAACAGGCAAAATATTCATACATATAAAATAAATGAATTGGAAGTTTAAAAGAAAATTAACAATCTTGAGTCTACTCACTTCTAGGAGGAACGAGAGGTTTTCCACTGGCTGCACACCAACCAACTGGATGAATATCAGACCCACATATATTGCACCAGAAGTCCAGAGAAGAATCATTTTCAAATCCTTCATATCTCAAAAGAGCATTATAACCTAAAACCAACAAATCAACCATATCAAAGAAAGAAAACAAAATTAAAAGAATACATCCCTTAGGGTAACGGCCATCATGCTTTGCTGTTCCCTTGTAGTAGAACCACCTGCTGTGCCATGCCAGAGATTGGGATTTAGACATGGGGTGCTGTGGAAAGTCCCTGGGCAATAATGACACTGTTGGAACTACTGTTCAACTTGGAGAATCCCTTCTTAATACAAAGACAATTCTTCAGATCATGGCTTTTCCCCCTGCACTTCAATTTTATCTATATTTTCCAAAATTCTCAGGAGGGGGAAAACCTCAGTGAAAACAAGTGGTATGCTAGTCTCATGAGAATGTGTAGTTTTAAGACAGGGTCACGAGTAGATGAAGCGGACTACATAGCTGGAGACACTGTTCAACTTCTGATCTGCTTCCTCCTCTCCTTCCCAAGTGCTGGGATAGTGTGGTTAATGTGTCTGAAAGAGCTCTTAGTGTTCTGTTTTTGGTATATATGGTATATGCGAATGTATGCAAGTCAGAAAGCAATCTCAGATGTTGGTCCTCCCTTTCCACCCTGTTTGAGACAGGGTCTCTTTGTTGTCTGCCATAGTGTATATCAGGTTAGCTGGTCCATGGGTTTTAGGGGGAATTTTCTTTTCTTGTCTTTGCCTCTCAGTACTAGGCCCTGACTCTCTGAGGTTTACTACCAAAATAGTAAAGTATATACTTAGAAGACATATGCAGCAAAAAGGAAAAAAAAAACAGAAATATAAAACCAGAATTAGTAATTAGGAATACTTCTTAGATAGTAAATGAGCTGATCTTCTGAACTATTTACATGCAAGTGACTTAAACATCTGGGACATAAATGCTGTCTTAATTAAAGTACAGCAAACAAAAAAAACAGCATTTAAAGAATTGCTTATTATAGATGTCTCAAGGAAAAGGCATGGGATTGAAGTGGAGAAAATACAGAACCTGGGACTCTTGCCAGAGTGATCAAAGGCACAGATGTGATCAAAAACTTCAGATGAAAGAGAGAGACTAGCTTTGTCTTAACAGATTGTTTATGTTAAGGACGCACTTAAAAAATCTGTACAGTATTTTAGAGTGAAGCTCATCCACAGCTGCAATCCATGACCACCTTAAAGAATAACGAGGCTACTGATGGTGCTCAAGGGGAAAGTATAATTAGAATTATTTTTAGGTAGGAGAGGCCTTTCCCAGCATACTTTGTTTTTCTCTGAAACAACATTTTTCTAGTACATAGTCATGGCTGATCTGAAACATCCTTACATAGACCAGGCTGGTCTTGAACTCTGAGGTCAACCTTGCCTCTGGCTCCTGAGTGCTGGGATTAAAGGTATGGGCCGTCACACTTAGCATCAAAGCCACTTTAGGTAACTCTGGGCAGGGTATAGTAAAGCAATATTCAGTGTTAAAAAAAAACAAAAGCTGAAGATAAAGCTCACCCACCCACATGGCCTGGCCTACTGCTTAATTTCTTTTTTTAATGGCTAGAAAGAACTGAAAAACAATTATTTCCTGCAGATAAAGATGAGCCACTTTTATGAGACTCAAATTTCATTAACAGAATTCTATAGCTACATCATCATTTGTTTATATGCTGCTATAGTTGTTCACTAGAGCTGGGTAGTGTAACAGACCGCAAACCCCACAAATCCAAGAATATTTATTGTCTGGCTATTTATAAAAGAACTGCCAACTCCTACTATACATATATTATTTATTTGATAATACTTGTAAAATTTATACACTTTTTTTTTTAAATGCAAAAGTTTGTATCACTGGCATTTTGTAGTAAATCATCATGTATGCTTTTCACCTGCTAATTTTATAATTCCAGCAATCCAGAAGACTTTGGTAGGTAGACTGCAGTCTGTATTGGGAACTTCTATCCTTACATTTTCTGAGATATCACCCCAGCAGGTCCCCATAGGTGCCTGTCATACAAAAATTATTAAATTATCATCTTAGTAACATAAGCATGAAACATCATTCAAAATTAAGTATCATTAATAATGAAATATTCAAATAAAAAGGTCATTTAAACCTATTTACTTTTTTTTCTTAATGCATAGTTTCTATTCCTTGTTGTAAAGAATTCAACTTGGAGAAAGCCAGAGTTAGGACCAAATTCAAGATAGAAGACAGAATCTGTACCTATTAGATACATGTTGACTTTATAATTTAACAGACCAAATGTGACACTTAAGTAACAATTATTATAAAACCTGAATTACAAATTTGGCTGACATAAGATCAAGCTGACTTGAGGAATTTAGTGTTTTTAATGTGTAATAAATAAAAGTACTTAATTTTTAAGGATCTTGTCCAGGAGTAGAAAAAAAAATAATCCAATTACAGGCTTCATTCAACGTAATCCAGAGAAATAAGAGCATCTATATTTCAAATACAGTCTAACATACAGGAAAAAGTAGTAGAAGAGTAATTAAAGAGAGATTTGAAGAGATCTGGGAAATGAGGCCCACAAAATAGCTAAGTAATTTATTATTTTAATAAATTTCTTATAGAACAATTACTATGAAAAGAAAACTTCCAAACTTAGAGCTGCTGACCATTGGCCCCCACACCACTGGCTAAAATGGCAACTGAGAAAAGAGCCTAAAAGCCTAACAATGGAATTTCCCAAAAGCTAAAATGTTCCCAAACCATTTCTATAAATCCCTTAGTTGCAAAGCAATACACAACTACTTAGGACTTTATGCAATAGTAAATTAAATCAAGTAAATGAATTCATATTTATTTATTTGTGCTGGTAATTCTAGTCTCTGTGGCCCTGGATAGTCAAAGTTTTCATGAAATGTAGAACACTGGACATAAATAAAAGGATAAGGTGAGGTTCTGTAAGACCTGATAATAGGGATAAATCAGCTGAAAATAAAACAGCTTCAAAACTAAAGATAAGCAAGCACAGCATGAACTAGCAAATATGGACACTGGAAAAACGTATTCCGTCGAAGAAAAGCCCCTCAGATTGTGATGGTAACCCAGAATATAGTCAGTTTAAAGTAAAATTTAACTCTTGCCCTCTAAGCAATCTGTCAATCTCTGAAAGAAATAGAATGTCAAACAACAGTGAATGGAAATAGATCTAGAAGCTGAAGACATAAGCAGTTAATGGCTAATGCTTTGAGTAGAAAGCAAACTTACTAACTTGGAAACCCTCCCAATCCCAATTATTTGTAATTATGGGGAGGGAACACATACCTATCTTCCCAAGAGAGAAGGAAAAAATAAAACTACTCCCCTCCCCCTTTGACACAGGGTTTTGCTATGTAGCTTAGGCTGGCCTGGAATTTGCCATGTATACCACACTGGTCTCAAATTTCCAATCCTTCTGCCACAGCACCTCCAAGTGTTAGGGCTATATGTGTGTGCCACCATGCCTGGGTTTTTGTTTTTAAACAGGAAGACTGGACCCTTCAGGTTCTGCTACCTCCCCCCTACATCACTCTAGACTGTAGGGCCATCCCTATTGCCAGCAGATATGATCAGAAATGAGGCTAGACGAAAGACAGGTAGCACAAACTGAGCTAACATCTACTTGTTCCTTGTGAGGATTAGCAGGCAGAGAAGACAGGTGCAGGCAATACACGTATAAAGCTGCAGTAACTCTAGTAGGGCAGCTACTCTGCTAGACTCCAAACCTGTGGAGTTGCTTTCTATTGAGAAGAGGAGTGGTTATACTGTAAGCTAAGATTTGGTGGGCACAATGCTAAATGAAGTTTGCATACAGGACTTCTTTCTAAGCTGGACTTGACAGTCTGTTGTGCTGCTTTTGTTTGTTTGTTTTTTTGTTTGTCTGTATTATTTTTGGAGAAAATACTTTTTAGTGCAATTAAAGAAAAGCAGCATTAAAAAAAAAAAAAAAAAAGGAATGCTTATTGAAGTGGGAGATCTTGGTTTGGTCCCTATAGTCTGGATTGGTATAGGAGAAAGTAGCAGAAAGTGACATTTGTTCTTGCCTGTAAGGTTGTGGTTCTGCTAGGCCCTCTTAAACCAATCCATATAGTTCACTCTATGAAAAAAAAATGAAGAAACAAACATCAACAAGATAGAGCACTACAGTTATAACATCGTATGTGCTCGATGTGTTGAAATAATAGTGATTTCATAGATAAATCTGCCCTTTTGTTTTAAATGAATATTCTTTTAAGTGTGGAAGACGGAATGACCCAGGGCTTGACAGCCATCTTCATCCAAGTCATCTGTCTTCTCTTGCTGGCAGGAGGGACACCTCTGAAAGTCTGGATTGGCACAGCATGAACTAGCAGAACCATCACTTACAGGTAACAACAAATTTACCTTCCAGACTCAGGATGCGAGGTCTACCTCAGGCTCCTCCCAACAAGGAAGATCTGCTCCACCACTTCCTGCTCCAGGGCCACTCTTGAGAGCTATCTGGGAGCGACTCTCCTTCCCTGCAAAGTAAGCTGTCATCAGGTCCTGTAGAGATGGCCAAATCCAAATGCTGAGGGGTCCCCAATACAAATGTATGATAACTTCCATCTATCTATCTGAAAGAAAATAATCTGGCAGGATGTCTTATCTCCTTTACTCCAAGAACATTCCCAGACCGTCCAATAGACTGATATTCAGACTCTCAGAGGGCACACATGATGCTTACAACTGAAACAAAGATTTCCTTCTATACCACTACTAGCCTGTAACTTTTGATAAGAACACCCAACCTTTATAGAGAGTGTAAATGGGCAGAGGTTAGACCCTAAAGTTGCAGGTAGGAACCAAGAAAGAATTTATCCCCATGATAAAGCAAAATCCACCATTACAATACCTTAGAACAACAACAACAAAAAAGTACACGATTAGTAAAGTATATCTACTAGAGAAAGATGAAATAATATTTGGTCAAAAAAGACAAGAAGCTGAACACAGTGCTGCACATCTGTAATAGCAGCACTTGGGAAGCTGATGTAGGAACTCTTTGGGTTTGAAGCTGGCTTGGGATACATAGTAAGGCCTTTTCTCAATTTTCACCGTGACCCAAACAAACAAAAACAAACTTCACTACTTCCCATTCTCTCCAGAAAGTATACTCACCTTTTGATCTGACAGCAGATCTACTGGGAGTGGGATGGGGATGATGCTAGCTAGCATGGGGGTTGGGAGGAGAGGTGCAAGAAAACTACAAAAGGAAAATGGAATGCTTGAGAAAATGCTATACACATGCAAAAAAAAAAAAAAAAAAAAAGCAGAGGCCACTAATTTAAAGCACCTCTCTCCACCTTTTGAGTAAGTTCTTATTGTGTAGCCAGGTTGGCCTAGAACTCACTGTGTAGACCAAGCTAGCCTTACACTTGCTAGGATCCTCATGCCTCAGCTTCCCAAACAAGGAAGCCTGTAATGCTGAGAGGACAGGTGTGTACCACTACACTTGGGTTTAAAACTACTTAATTAAACAAAACACAACACAGTTTAATCACTAGATCTTCCCCGGCCCCCATCCACTCCAGGGAAGAGTACAAGGTTAAAGCAGTAATACACATTTATTTAGGCCTCCTTTCAGTTTAGGTTTTCCTAGAAACTCAAAGCAAGCAACTTTTTTCAGTTTGAGGGCCTGCTACCTTTGTAGAGAAATGTATTTCATGCTAATTAGTGTTAGCAGGGGTGGAACACGGAAGTGCCAGAAACCAACTCAAGTTTTATTTTCATTAGAAAGTAATCTTATAATCTATTATGACACATGGAGGGTCTATTTTTAATTATAACTGAGGTGAAGTTATAGTATGTATTTTCCATAGTTCTCTCTGCCTGGACCAAGGACCAAGAAGGAAATACTCTGAAAAGTAACTTTAGTTGAAAAATATTTTTAATAAACTTGTATCTGAGAAATTAAATCATGAATTTTACCTTTGCTCATATACAAACAAGAAGGCTAGTTTTCTATCATTAAAATTAAGTATGTATTATTACACATATTGCAAATAAATAAATTTATTTCTTCAAAAAAAGCTGCACTCAGATCAGGGACAAAAACAACAGAGAGACTATTATGTAAGTGACACCAGGTATACTCATGGAGGCAGAATGAAAATGTCAAACAAACTCAGCTTTAAAGTCATAATGTGTGACAGATCATGCCTCTAATCCCAATACACAAGAAGCAGGGACAGGAGGACTGCTGTAAATTCCAATCTAGTCTTGTCTACTGGAGATCCTGCTTTGAAAACCAACCCATCAAAAAATCATCCCAACCCCTATCACAAAACCCAGTACTACTTCCCCAATCCCAAGTCACAGAGCAGCTACAGACAATGGCACATCCTCAAAATTCCTCTCAGGAGACAGAGGCAAGAAGACTTTGAGTTCCAGGTCAGCCTGGGCTAGTAAGAAACCCCATCTCAATTCACTGCCAAAACTGACACCCTCCTGCCCCCCGAGATAAATACCTTGAACCTGATAAATCTATAAAACAGCCAAATGGTATATGGTTGTATATTAATTTGATTTTTTTTTTCTTGTATGGATACTACTAACCAAGAACTAAAAAAGGGCTGAAGAAATGGCACCGTGCAAACTGCTCTTATACAGGATTTCAGGTTGTTTCTTGACACCCATGTCAGGTGGGTCACAACCCCCCCCCCCACTTTTTTAAAGATTTATTTATTATTTATACAGCATTCTACATGCATGAGGGCCTGCATTCCAGAAGAGGGCACCAGATCTCATTATAGATGGTTCTGAGCCACCATGTGGTTGCTGGGAATTGAACTCACGACCTCTGGAAAAGCAACCGGTGCTCTTAACCCCTGAGCCATCTCTCCAGCCAAATAAATAAATCTTTAAAAAAAAAAAAAAATATATATATATATATATCTCCATCCATCCCTGTGCCCAGATATTTTGGTTAAGTTGCTTTCCTTGTGGAGCTCCTGTCCTCTGCAGGACTTACTATTTCCCTATTCTTTCATAAGAGTCCCTGTACTCTGCCCAAAGTTTGGCTATAAGTCTCAGGATCTGCTTTGATACCCTGCAAGGTAGTCTTTCAGAGGCCCTCTGTGGTAGCCTCCTGTCCTGTTCCCTGTTTTCTCCCTCTTCTGATGTCCGTCCCATTTGCCTTTCTGAATGAGGATTGAGCATCTTAAAGCTGATTCCCCTAGGTCCATTTGGATGCAGACTGATGAAAGGGACAGGAGGAGTACCTTGTTTCAGGCTATGTGCCATGTGTACCTGGGACATTGTGTAGCTTGACACCCAGCACACTCATATCAATTCTTGTTTCCACCACAACAGCTTGCGTGTGCATCAAACATAACAGATGTGTATTTGTAATTATAAAACTAATTCCTACTTGGTACCTAAGTGGGCAAGAGGGCAGCGGTGTAGTCTGTGAGAAAATCCCTTTAGAGAATGTAGTATGTCTTAGAAGGATGATGGCATGAGACAAGGTCTTTGCTTCCAGAAATTTCTGGCAACAGACTTCCTAGAGCCCAAACCAGTACCTCAGAGACAGAATAGAAAATGACCTCTGAGATAGGGAATGGGGTGGGCCTGGGGGCACACTGGAGAGTCAACTCAAGAGTAAAACTGAGTTTAGCAGAAGGTCTACCTTTCAAATCAAATGGCTTCAACTGTAGATGCTGATTAAAGCAACAAAGCAAATTCACTAAGACAAAGCTCTGATAAAAAGGCAACAGTCAAGAAAGGTGAGTGCAACAGGAATAACAGGCTTCACATAACTGACAGGCGCTTCGTTCTGAGAAAGTGAAGATGCCACATTATCCTTACTAGTAAGTTAGCTGCTCCTTTAATGCTAGTCGTGAACTCACTCTGTTGCTGAGACTAGCCTTGAACGCGTTCCTCCTGTTTCCACCTTCCAAACACTGGGATTATAGGTATATGCTACCATACCCAGATCCTGAAACTAAATTTTAAATTACAAAATAAAGAAATATCTTCCCTATTAAAAAAAAAAAAAAAAAAAGGAAATTGAGCCAGGCTCTGTGTCATACACCTGTGAGCCCAGCACTCAGGGAGGCAGAGGCAGGCAGATCTCTGTGAATCGAGGTCAACCTGGCTTACAAAGTGAGTCCAGGACAGCCAAGGCTACACAGAGAAACCCTGTCTTGAAAAACAGAGAGAGAGAGAGAGAGAGAGAGAGAGAGAGAGAGAAAGAGGGGGGGGGAGGGGACGAGCACATTGTTGTAAGTCTAAAGGTCGTGTATTACCCTTTCTATCCCCATTCAAACAGCCCCCCTTTAGTTCAGTATTCATCTTTACAGTCCTTTCTGGAATTGTACTTATTTCCAAGGTAGAATTACCTGCCCTATAACCATTTCAATCTTAATAATAGCAAAGCTATAAGCAAAATCAACCAACTTAATTACTAAAGAGATGTATTCATAAAGAACTTTATTTTATATAACTGTTCAAAGATATGGACAGAAAATGAAATATACTTTCAGGACCTTGAAATGCTATTTCAGAAATAGCCTGGCTATTTATTTAAAATGGACTGACCTATTTTGTGACATAAAACATTAAAAAGATTTAAAGAAAGATGAAAGCCATTTAAAAAGAGACAACAGACAAATGTGCAGGAATCTGAGATGAAGTCTTACTATGGAATCCAGAGCATCTCAGCACCACAGAGCAACACTGTGTTTACACTCTGCAGTGTTAGGGGTGAAATCTTTGGAGAGGGGCTGGGTAGGTGACACCCAGCTCTGTAGTTCTCTGTAATTGTTTTACAGAACACAAACACAGACATTACACAGTTCCCTAGTGTAACAGTATTACAGTACAGTATAGTGTTAAGTCACCCACTTGACTCTGAGATAAGCAACTAAAGATTGCATTTTAGGTTCTCTTACATAGCAAGGCACAGACGAAAAGCTGAACATTTGTACATAAAAGGAAAAAAAACAACACACTAATGTAGCAGGCTTTAACACACATTCATACCAGCGAATTAATATGCTTGAGTGTGATAAAAACCCTTCTTCATTGGCAAAAATGAGTAAGAACTCATTTGGATTTAATGGTAAAAAGCATGTGTACTTTTGTTCATGTGTTATTTAATATAGCTCTTAGCAAACTGTTATGTGTGAAAAAAAAAACTTCATTAATTTCTAACTTTTGTGAAGACATCACAAAAGCAGTCTTTATCTAAATTAACCATGCCAGGTAAAGAAATATTAAAACAAATTACTAAAAATAAATTGAAGTAAAATGACATCTGATACTTTTTTTTTAATATCAAATGCTCTGAAAAGAACATTTTCCAAACTATTTTTAATGATACAATCACTTATTCCAGCTCACAAGAAAACATTCCTGCTGCTTTCATGGGGTGTGATTTTACATTTGGAGGCAAAAACAGAAATGGAGGAAAGACGGCTCTTTCAGAAACTATCTGCTTCAAATCATAAAGGTCTTAGGCTGACACGTGACACTGCTAGGAGCCAACCAGTTTTGTTATAGAAGCCTCCACATTTTCATGTTTTATATTGTTTAACATAGAAACTGGATGAGGTAGTATTTTTTACTGTTCAAAATCACTTCATATTTCAATGAAAGTTTTGTTTTTCAATGTTGGGGGTAAAACACAGGGTCTTGAATGTTCTAGGCAATCACCTTGTCACTTGCTATAATATTTCAAAAGCCCTCAAAAGGGCTTTTTGATTAAATGTGAAGATTTTACTTGTAGAACATAAGTTATTTTTAGCTATTAAGTATAATAAAGGAGAAACATTTTTCTCTTTTGATATAGGAAATACTTTCTCAGGATGAGAGTTATTGTACCTTCAGATTTAAAGATCAAACATTTCATGGTAGGTAAGAAATTCCATACTCACATGTTTAAAACAGGCTACTGGAGCTGCTATGAAGCTATTGCTGTTGATGTAGTTACCCCAGCTGAAGCCTTCTACGGAGACTGCTGAAATAAAATAAACTTAGATGTAACCGTTCAACATATATTAAAAAAACGGTGCTTTTTACTTATTTTTTTATTTATGTATTGTTTACTTATTTATTTAATGTGTGTTGGAGAGCATGCGGATGCAAAAGCATGTGTGTGGAGATCACGGGGTAACTTTTGGGAACTGGCTCTCTCCTTATAACATGTGGATCCCATGACTTAAATTCAGGTTTCTAGGTTTATTCTCAAGTACTCTTAACTGCTGAGCTATCTTGCTAGCCCCAAAGCTGTTACTGCTGCTGCTGCTGTTGTTATTATTATTTTAGTTTTTCGAGACAGGGTTTCTCTGTGTAGCCCTGGCTGTCCTGGAACTCACTGTGTAGACCAAGCTGGCTTCAAACTCAGAGATCTGCCTGCCTTTGTCTCCCAAGTGCTGGGAATAAAGGTGTGCTCCACTACCACCTGGCTTCAAAAGTTATTTCTAAAACTTGAAATAAAATTAAAAAAAAGTTTTTGGTGAAATGTGATGACACATGCCTGCACTCAAAACACTTGAGAGATTTTGATGGCAGGGGAATCACAGTCAACTAGGGCTACATAGTAAAGATTCTCTTTCAAAAATTCATTTCACCAAAAGCTTTTCTTTTCCCGTAAGGATGAAATAACTTGACTAAATAATAAAAGCTGTTCTAAGTACTTGCTACCAAAAGTATATCAGACTTCAAAGTTTCATGGATTTTCAGGCATTTACATGGACTTTTTTGGTGCTTAAATGGCACATCTTTATTTCTTTTTTTTCAACACAGGGTTTCTCTGTGTAGCCTTGGCTGTCCTGGCACATATTTCAACACGTTTTAGACTTCAGATTTTCCTTTTTGGTTGTGCTATGAACTGATGAGAACCTTATGGAGTACGTGAGTAATCTGCCACTAAACAAGTGCCTTCCCCCAATCAGAGTTTGTATTTACTTTTTCTTCTTTTCTTTAAAAAAAAAAAAATAAATTTAAATTTTATTTTCTGTGTACTGGTATGAAGGTGTCAGTATCCATGGAACTGGAGTTATAGACAGTTATAAGCTGCCATGTGGGTGATGGGAACAGAACTAGTCCTTTGGAAGAGCAGCTAGTGTTTTTAACCATTGAGCCATCTCTCCAGCTCCAGTTTATATTTTCTGATTAGGAATGTCCCACTTGTATTTACAAACACATTACCACCATCATTAGATTGACTTTGTTTATCAATTGTTACCCTCTACAACAGTTAACAACCAACCATCTGATATCACAGTCTTACAGTGCCAACAAAAAATACATACAGCTCAAACACAACCCAAGGTTAAAATGCTGTTGCTTGAAACTAGTAGAATGAATCATATTTCACTTTCTGTTGCTGTTGTTTTTGTTTTATGAGACAGGATTTTCTTTGTATAGCTGATTGTCTTGGAAATCGCTCTGTAGACCAGGCTGGCCTCAAAACTCAGAGATCCACCTGTCTCTGCCTTCTAAGTGCTGGGATCAAAGGAGTGCTCGACCACTGCCTGGCTATAATATTTTACTTTTTATTACACTCACCAGAATTACCTGCTTTTGTCTTTGCTTGATTTTGCAAGGTAGCTTGATACTGAGCATAGGCAGCTAATTTTGCAACTAAAGGTTGTTTTTGAAGGACTTTTGCTTTCTTTGTTGGAGGCTTACCCTGAAACAAGAAAAGTTAAGTAAATAGGATTCTTCTTTATCCCCTCTACAACCAAAATTTAAAATGACTGTAAACTACTCATTCTGCTTACATATTGAGGGTTTAGAAAATTATTAAAGCGGAGGAAACATACAATGAATCTTAACATGAGTTTCTTTTTTTCTTTTTGAGTTCTGCTACAATGTAGTTATCTAATATGGGCAGCAGAGCTGGCGCAGACTAAAACAGCAATATGCGAATTAATATGTTAATAAAAATTATATCCCATAAAATGTTAAAATACAGGCTGTGGTGGATACTTGACTTCTTAGAGTAGACAGAATCAGTGTTATTCACTCATGCAGCTGCGAAGCATTGCTACTGATATGGTAAGAGAAGACAACTGAATGTTCAAGAGCAAGTGACTGAGGTTTATACCTTTAGTGCTAACGCAAAAGGTCAATGACATAATGATCATGGCCAAATTCAGTGTGACAAACTGCCATCCATTTGGGTACAGACCACTGCTCAGGATCTTTGGGAACTGTCTATCTGAAATATAGAAATACATCTAAGTGATGTATTTCCTTCATCTGGGGGATTTAAATAACTCAGTGCTATGTAATGATCACAATACATTAAATGAGAGAGGAAAACTGTGACCATAGAAAAGGTAATTACAAAAATCAGTACTATAATGTCTTAAGAAATTTTTAGATGGTAGGGTAACAACTTAGTCAAGACTCCAGTATTTTATAGGCACTAATATACATCTAAAAGATGGTTTTCTTTTAATTTCATGGATGTTTTAAAAAGGTGAGTTGTGTTAACTAAACATATTTGGTTCAGGTATCAAACTGGTCATACTCAAAAGTACAAAGCTGAACTTGTCTTTTGTGAACAAAGCTAGAATTCACCCCCAGCAATAAAAACCCCAAGAACAAAAACCAAGCTACAGAGCAAAGTTGAGGGAAGAAGACGAAACAAAACTGCAAAACTCAAAGAATAAATCATTTTCACCCAAATGGTGATTCTAACTTGATATTTATTCAAGGAAAAACTGGGAAGGGAGCAGAAAAGAAAATGGCTTTATTTTCTACATGTAACAAGGTGTTTAGTTGTATTTCTGTGGAAAAAGGCCTTTTAAATTCATTTATATAAATAATTTACTGCTTATTTTGGATAGCATGTCTTTACTATGTAAAATGCTCAACTGGCTGATACATTCCTAAAAGTGTAGGCTGTAAATCACCGGCCGTTGGGCAGAGGTGGAGTGCAGTGAATCACAGTCAGCTGTCAGGTGAGTGAAAGCCATGGGAAGCAGATGAAGAATAAGAAGGTCTCTGTACCGTTACCTGAAGTCTGGCCAGAATGCTTGCCTTCTTAGAGTTGGACGAGTAACTTCTTGAACAAGAAACACTGCAGAAACGTTTCGTTTTAGAGTAAAAAGCATCTCGTACACCGACCATCCCACACATCTCGCAGGTGGCTAAATTAAGAAAACAAAAACATTGGAATGAAGACCATTTAATAAAATCAAATCTTTCCACCTGCCTAGTTGTATTTATCTGAAAATCTGCAATGATAAATAAAAATTAAACACCTGTGTGATGCCATGGTGGTGGAGTCTCCAAAGTCTGGCAATTTCCTTAAGTCCTAAAGGCTTTAAAAAGGTTGTGAGTATGGTGACACATGCCTGAAATCCCAGCACCAGAGAGAAAGTATGTGTGATTGTGTATATACAGAGAGAGACCCCATTTTCAACTAACATTTTTCTAGTGCTTATCATGTGTTAGAAATTTTAATCTGCATTGATAGATAAATATTTGATATACATTATGAATTTCAGCTCCCCTCCGCCACCCAGACAGGGATTTTCTATATAGCCTTGGCTGTCCTAGAACTCTCTTTGCAGACCAGGCTGGCCTTGAACTCACAGAAATTGCCTTTGCCTCCCAAGTGCTGGACTTAAAGGTGTGTGCCACCACATCCAGTGAATTTAAGCTTTTAAAAAGATTATGTTCAAAAAACTAAAAGAAGTGCAACATAATTGAGGATTAACAAAACTACAGTAAAAGCCTTTAAAATACTGCAAAGGTTGAAACAAACAAAAAAACAAGTCTTTAGAAAAATTAAGGATTCTTTCAAAATATGTCCAGGGGACACTGAAGGATGGGTCAAGCTCCAAGTTTGAGGTGGAGGTTCATTAGTAACTAGTTAGGACAAGAGACAGCTCAGCTTCTGATAGGTATTACATAATGACCTCAAAGTCAGAATTACATGAACAAGTGTTGCAAGAACAGAAATTCAAAAAAGACAGAGCTGGGTCTGTCTGTGCAGGCAGGCTGAGGAAGAAGGGCTGAGAGTTCAAGTTCTGCCTAGGCTGCAGATTGAATTTAAGGCAAGAGTGGGTAACTTTGTAAAGTCCTGTCTCAGTAAAAAGTGGGCTGGGTATAGTTCAGTGGCAGAGCACTAGCATGCATGAAGCCCTAGGTTTAATCCTTAATAAAGTCCTGGGGTTGGGTGGGGAGGGGAGGAAAACCTAATAAATTAATGTCTGACCCAAACGGTTAAAGTCCTGTAGCATAACCAGTACTTATCAATCCATGAGAAATAGAAATAAGACAGAATACCAAAAATCCAAGATATTTAACAATAAATAGTGTGTCCATAAGAGAAAAACCAGAATAGTTCCTTATACAAATCCCAGATTAAAAGATTTCTAATTACCTACATTAAAGAAAAAAGAAAAAAAGTGGCACTTGAGAGGCAAAAGCAGGCCTGGTCTTCACAGTGAATTTCCAGGGCAGCCTGGTCTCCATAGTGAGACTGTGTCTCCAACAAAACAAAACCAGTCAAGAGGACAATGAATCCTTGACAAAAATTATATAATTTCAAAGTGCAATGCTCTTTTGTGATATAATTTCCACACTGGTATGACATCACCAAGCACGAATATGTAGCAATGGGAGCTTTTTTTTTTTTTGAGAGTAGCCCTGGTTAGTCTGGAATTCACAAGCTCTGCTTTCCATGTGCTGGGGTTAAAGGTGTGCACTACCACAATATATTCTGTATGTATGACAAAAGTTCTTATTTGGCTTTGTTGCCCATGGCCAGGAAATGTCATTTAGAGTAGAAGACACCTAGGAAATTCTTTTTTTCTGGTTTATGGTGCTAGATTTAACACAGCATTTTCCCATGCAAGGAAAGAGCTCTACTGCAGAATCACACATGTATTTCCCTAGGTACATGTTTTGCTTTTGTATTGTTCTTTTGAGACATGGTCTCTCTAGGTAATCTTGACTGTCCTAGAACTTGCTATATAGATCAGAGTGATCTTGAACTCTGAGAGAACATCCTGCCTCTGTCTCCAGAGTGTGTGATTAAAGGAGTGTGTTATCATGCCTGGTCTTAGGTGCATTTTAATTAATTGGGCAATCTTTTTGTTTTGTTTTATTCCCTAAACGTCGTCTCACTTTACAGCTCAAGCTGGCCTCAAATTCAATCCTGCTGCTGGGATTACAGGATGCACCGCCCCAGATGACTCCAGTAGATTTTGATAAATGAAGTTCTGTGTCCATGTATGTGCACACATGTATGTGAACTAACTGCCTGCGCCTGTGGAAGCCAGGGGTCAACTTCAGCTATTCCTTAGGTCTCATCTACCTTGTTTTCTTTTCTTTTCTTTTCTTTTTTAAGATTTATTTTTTATACACTATTCTGCTTGCATGTGTGCCTTCATGCCAGAGGAGGGCAACATTATAGATGGTTGTGAGCCACCACATGGTTGCTGGGAATTGAATTCAGGACCTTTAGGAAGAGCAGCCAGTGCTCTTAACCTCTCCAGGCCCCTACCTTGTTTTCTTAAGAAAATATGGTTCAAAGCTTGCCACGCAGGTTGACTTACCAGTGAGCTCCTGGGATTCCCTGGTCTCCACCACCCTAGTTGCTGCCTGGGATGATGACTGGGACTACCATACTTGGCTTTGTATGTTAGTGATCTAGGGATCAAACACAGGTCCTCATGCTTGCATCGCAAATACTCTACTGACTGAGCGATCCCCTCAAACATCAAAGTTGATTTTTATTAAAAAAAAAAAAAAAAAAAGCTCCCCTGTGTAGTCCACACTGGTCTCTAGGTCCTATCTTCCTGTTTTAGCCTCTGCAAGTATTGCCAGCACAGTCACTCTTGGCTAAGTACAACTTTTTATATAGTTTGCAGTTCTACCCTGCTCACCTTCTTAGTTAAAAGACAGTAGGATGCACAAAGTGGGATTATCACATATATGATTTACAGCTGAAAAATTAGATGACAGAGCATCCAGTACTAGATAACAGAATTAAAAATTTCTAAAATCAAAGGTTCGTAAGACAGAGGCTTTACACCTTACACTTTTGGTTTTATCCAAACTGCAAAGGCCCAAGATTGGTTTAGGTTTGTTTCCATGTTATTAAACAACAAACCAGTGAGCTGGTTCTATATTGAAAGATACTTGCTAATTAAGTGTGGCAACATGAACTGGCTCCCACACGTAAAGGTGGAAGAAGAGAATGGATTACATAAAATTGTTTTTATCTCCCCTAGCCCACTACGGCATGTGCACCAACACATAAACCTTTACCTTTCAATTAAAAAAAAAAAAAAAATCTAGAAGAAGTACTTATTATTTGAAATTCAGTATTATTTAAAAAAAAAA